GACTTATCTTCTTCCCTGTCACTGCCAGAACTAGAGTTAGGGTTTTCAGGTTCTGGCTCACTGGAAGAACTACCAACCTGTCTTCGACCAGGCTTACGGCTAGTCTCAGCTTCTAAAGGGGGAACATCATATGCGGCCTGAGGCTGATAACTGGTTCTCTTTGATCCCGGCATAGTTGCAACCCCAATAAATCCAACGTTGGAACCGTATTGGTTAAGCTCTGAATTACCCAGCTTGTCAGCAAAACCGCACAAATGGTATCGAACACTAACAGGCTCGATGTCAAGGACCTTGGTGTCGTCCGATAGGTTAGGATTGATAGGTCAGAAAGTCCTTTCACAGTTTGCTATAACCTTATGACGAAAGTAAGCTTGCCTTTGTTCTTCAGTAGTTAGTGGCTAAAACGGATCGTCAATTTTATCAGAAAGAGATGACGATGTTCCCTAAGTTTTATCGATATCTTTACCCAAAGATTGTCTAATAAGTCGGCACCTAACAGTACTGAGCGTAGGTTGTTCCTCTTCGACAATACTATCAGACATTTACAAATGCCAACTACGCCTAAGTTGCAAAAATCAAAAGCATGCACAAATTAAAAGTTAGGGTTAATGAGTACCTTCGAAATTTTAACCAAAGGGTGTCTTTGGAAATTGCAAAAGTCCCGATCTCCAAATCTGTGAAGCACTTGAGGTTGTTAAGATGCTGCTGATACGTTTGCATAGAGACGCTTCTAGTTTACTTACGGGTGTGAATTTGAGAAAGATTAATGAAGATAAAGAAAGAGGAAGTAAGTGAGGTTTTTTTATAGATTTAAAGGGCAACGGTTGATGTGATGGGTCAGTAAAAAATACAATGGCTGAAAGTTTTGCAAATTCAAAATTATACATCTTGATTGATGACACGTTTTCGGTGACTAAAAAACTTCCCGTTAAAAATAATTATAATAATAATAATAATATATCTATATATGTAAAAAAAAAAAAAACGCTTAATATTCTTTTTTCCGCCTACTCTGAATGTCAGGTGAGGCTAATCTACTATCAGCAGATAGCTCACTTGGGGGGAAAATCGGAGATTTTTTGCTCCCAGCCTGAGAATAAAGTAGACCTTATCTGCTATCAGCTCCCTTGGGGGGCAAATTGAAAAAAAAAGAAAAATAAAGGTGTCGACCTACCAGCCCAAATTTAAGAATAAAAGGTGTAGGAAGAAAAGTGCTTGATATAGACCAATAAACATACGATACTGAGTTGGTAAGTGATTAAGTTCCAGTGGACACTCAGTCTCCTCATATCGAGATGATTGAGACCAAGTAAGCGCTCGTTGACCGGTTTTTAAAGGTTGAAATGAGAGATTCAGTGCGATAAGTGAGAACATCAGTTCCACCGACGTCCTCACTTGGGGGGGGGGGCTAGTTGTATAGGGAGATAATGATAACAACAAAATATATGCACCCTTTTTGCAGATTGACCGGGTGCGAATTAAATGTCATGTTAACTATGTCGGCGTATCCCTATAATGGCATAGGTAACGGTTGGTCATCAAGCAACACGTGGCGTCGACCAGCCAATTCAACACTTGGCATGAATATTACTTGCATGGCATGCAGCCACCTGGCAGTTGAGTTCACTATAAATAGGTAGGTTTATTCCACATTAAAAGGGATATATATTGTTACTCTCTCTCCTCTCTCTTTCTTTCTCTCTCTTAATCTCTCTTGATATCATCTCTTCTTCTTCTTAAACACTTTCTCACTTTGTCATCGGAGTGGTTATCCCTGGATTCACCCCGGGGCTAGCTAATCCTTATTTCCTATGTAGGTGCATAGCTGGGCGATAGGGTCTTCACGGATCTCGGTTACGGGTTGTCGGGTCCCATAAAGGAACAACTTGGCGCTAGAAGGAGGGGGTAGTGATTACTTCTATCGCCTAAGTACCTAACACAGTAAAATTATGACGGGAAACAAAGAAACACCTACAAACCATAACGGAATCAGTAAAACAGTGAACCTAAATGTAACAGCTGGAAATGGAACAGCTATTCCAAGTGTTGAGATAGAGGATGAAACTCACACCTTGGAAGGGAATCAGTACGGTATGCCGACAACACCAGAACGACGTAATAATGCCATGCCGGACCCCATGGCCGAATTTACCCCAGAGGAATTGGAAACAACAGCCAGGGAAATGAGGGCAATGAGTAGGAAGAGAAAAGAGTCAGGGGGCGGTACTGGGCAGACTGGAGGGGAGATACCGATAATAAATCTTGGCAGCCAGTTTCACTATGCGGCTGGTTCGCCGAGGCAACTATCTCTAGATGCGTCACCGGAGAGGACACACAACCGAACGGGAGACTGAAGCGCAATCCTCTAGTCACGCTGCCAGTACTCAAAGACAGAGGATATCTCAAATTGCGGGACAAGGTGCAGCATGAGCAGTTGTGAAGCCAAGGGCTTTGCCGTTTACACAAGATATCTTGGAGCAACCAATGGAAAAGATAAAGATGCCGACATGTAGATATGATGGCAGAGGTGACCCAAATAGGTACATAACATCCTATGAGGGGCACATGACTTTGTATACAAACTCCGATGCTGTATGGTGTAAGGTCTTTCCAACTACTTTGACTGGAGTGGCATCGGATTGGTTTTCCAACCTAGAAAACGGAATAGTTGACAGCTTCGAGAAGCTGACGGAGATGTTTGTGGGGCAGTATATCAGCGACAACGTCCGACAAAGGACTTCAGGAGAATTGATGGCAGATTTCCGAAGTTGTTTGATGAAATGCATATTTGAGCCTACTCCATTGAAGCGCACTCTGAGCTCTCCATTAAAATAGCTTATGAGCTAGCTTTCTCTCACTCCATTGAAACAGTTTCTGAGGTGGGATGAGTTGCCGGCGGTGGTTAGTTTCTGCTGGTGTTGCAAATTGAGGACACCCAAAAATCTAGGGTTTTGAGGAGAAAGATCGAAAGGGGAAACACCGTACGTACCGGGGACAAAATTGGAGAGGGCTTGGTGGCCGGGCGAGCAGGGGTGGGGCTTGGTGGGGTTCGCCGGTAGGAGTAGAGGTCGGAGGTGGCTGGTCGGGGTGGGGGGGGGGGTGGTCCGGCAAGTGGCTGCCGGGACTGGGGTTAGGGGGAGGGGGATTTTTCTTTTTCTTTTTCTTTTAAAAAAATTTGATTTGATTTTATTTTTATTTTTAATTTGTTAATTTAGGCCAATAGGGTGACGACACGTGAATTCTTTAGTCGGAAAACAAGCCGGAATAGAAGAGAGGTGGTGATACCTACTGGTTTTGGCTTGCAGGTGGGTTTTTTTTTTAATTTCGTATGGGTGGTTTTTTAGAAAAGTGGTATATTTAGGGGTGGTTTTTTAAAAAAATTTCCTACAAAAATTGTGGATTTGGTTCATAAAAAATTTATACAAAATAGGAGGAAATGTAAAACTTATATTTATTTTCTACAAGTATTTGCTTTGACAAAAAACACAATTCAAGCAAATGATTTTTTCAATTTTTTTCTTGTATGTTTTGTATTGGGTGGAGAAATTTTTTTTCTAAGGGCATGCTTGGATTGAGGGAGATATATTAACAGGGTAACAAAAGTCAAACTAAGTAAAATGAAAGTGAATATAGGGAAGGAGGAGATAGAGATGGTGTGATTGTAAGGAAAATTATATAGTACTGATGGTGTTGTATGAGGTGAAGAAAGAAGAGCTATTAAAAAAAAATGAACAAGAGAACTATTAACCTCATTTTGGGGGAAATAGTTACACTAGGGGAAGGGTGGGTAACTATTACCCTCATTACGAGGATTTTATCTCTCTTTTCCTTATGACACAACTACCTTATTTCATTTGTAAACACCTTGTGTTCTACAATGATATCTCTAATTACTTGTGTTTTTTTCAAGTTTGACTTTTATTACCCCTTAATATATTACGCCTAATCCAGGCAAGGCCTAAAGGTGAAATGTTGTTATGATAAGTAGATTAGGAAACTATATCATTTGTGATGCACTAACCATATTAATTAAGATAAGATTTATTAAAAATATCATTAGGAGATTTGATTTTATATTGTAAGAAACTAGAATAAATTCCATATATCTTATAATTAACTTTTTCCTTAGGGATTCATAGTAAAATTAAATTATAGGTAAAAACTAATATGGAGTATAATTTTTTTTAAAAAAATAAAAAAAATAAAAACCACAACAAATATACCAAAAAAAACAAAATAAAAATATGATAAAAATAAAAGGTGAATCACACGAGATTAAGGTGTCGTTTGGTTCACATGGGAATTAGAACTTCCCATGAATTTGCAATTTATGGGAATTAAATTCCTATTATCAAATTCATGGGACTTTCCTAAAATTGTTTAGTTAACAATGAAAAAGTAATTTCCTATGGGAATTTCTACTTACCTAGGGGGGTTAGGTAAGTAAGTTCCTGCATTTTGTGGGAAGTTAAAATTCCTAGGAAGTTCAACTTCCTCCATTCCACCAAATCTTTGTCAATCAAGCAACACATAAAATTTGTAATTGTCACGATGTTTCATTTTCCATGTTTTTTTATGTCAAACAAACAAGCCCTAAGTGTAATAGTAATGAGGTTTAAAAAAAAAAAAAAAATTGTAATTGTAATGAATTATCGATAACGTTTAACAAAAACATTACTCGCAATAATGATGCATCAATGCATTGATTAGTTGAACGTGTAGCACGTCATACGGAATAAGACAAGGGGTTTACCAATTGGATTATACTCATGGATAACATGCTCAAATAAAATCAATATCTATCGGCTTCTCATTGACAATTTTTTTGTTGAAATTAGACATCGCTTTTTTGTTTTTAAATTAAAGACCAAAGATACAATTGACGTGTAAGCTTGACGTGTCTAAATACATCTCAAAAACTAACACATTTTACAAATTTCAATTTCAACTTTATTTTTGTATATATATTTAATTTTATATTAAAGTATTGATTCCTACCTCAATTTCTTCTCCCCTATAAATAAATTCCTGAAATTCGTGCTCTGCTATACCTTTCACCTTGCTCTCTGCTCTTACGTTTCACCTTCCCCAATTCTACCCAAATTCTTCATTTTCTCAGTTTTCAAGTTTCTCTCTCCTCTTATTCAATTTGTTTTTCCCCACTTGCCACCTTCTCTGGTTAGTAATTTCCGCAAAATCTGATTCTTTTTTTTTAATTTTTTGTGAATGGGTTTGCATTATTTTTTGCTGGTTAATCGTGGGTTTGATTGTTTTTAATTTACATTGTATGATATTTTAGATATTTTGATCTGGTTTTTTTTTTTTTAGGTTTTTAGTTTAATTAATTAATATTATGATATTATTTTGATCGAATTCACATGGGTTTTGTTCAAGATCGAGGCTTTCAAAATTGTTAGTGCTTTTTGTCTGTTTCATTGTTTGTTTATACTGTAAGAGTGATAATTTTTTAATTGCAAATTCCGAATTCCAATTTTACCATTTCCAAGATTTTACTGTGTATTTTATGCTGACAATCATATCCAATTTACTCAGATTCAACTGTGAAAAGTCTTTGTTTATGTTGGTTGTTTTAGGTCCATTCAATCCAGTTTTTTATTTTGGAATTATAATTCAAATTACAGATTGTGCTTCAAATTTACTCAATTGCTATTGAATAGGCTGGCAAAGGTGCTGGCATTGATTTAATTTCTGCAATTTGAGCAAAAAATCCAATTAAGTCAACTTATTGTTGTTTAGTTGTTTGTTAAGAAACTTGATCGTGACATTAATGAGTTGTGTTTATTTGCTGGCTTCGATGATTCGAACCCGAGATCTACCATTGATTGTGTAGTAGTTGAGTATGTCTTACCACTTTGGTTAAATTGAGGTTTTGTTTATTGGGTGAAATGGTGAAGAAGGTTGCTAGTTGACCATTTGATCACTATATCATACATATTACATGACCTATAAGTTGAGGCTTGAGTGGTTATATGAGTGATCCCTTTTTGCCTTTTAGTTGTAATCTAACGTTTGCACACACACTGCGTTGCTTTGATTGAAGCCGAAGAAAATGCTAATTGTCGCTTTCTTATGTAGATGCTTCCAAATCGTACCCATTAGTTTCGTTGCTTTCATTGTGTGTGCCATGATATGAAATTACCCTTAAGGATTGGGTTACAAGTGTTGGCCAAAGCCTTGGATAGGGTAATTAGATTAAGACTTCTAAATTACGAAGAATGAGCAGTGTTGCTCAATCTTTGAGCTTGATGCATATTTATCGCCCTCTATCGTGTCTCAACGGTGAATTGCAAATGTGGCAATCTAACGTATGAACTTAATAAGATAGCTAGTGATGCATATACCAGTGCAGATTTTTCATGTAGTGGAGAGTTCATTGCATCAATGATTACGGGTCTTTTCTCTTTTGACCATGCTTGCATATGGCCATGTTTATCTTGAGCTGTTTTGAATATATATGCTTATTTTGTTTGATTTTGACTTCCATCTTTTTGGTATTTATTTATTAAAAGTTACTCCGAATTGTTAGGTTGAGCAGTTGCTCATCTTTCTGTCCTCAGTAGATGAGCTTATTTTAATTTAATTTTTATTTAATTTTATCTAATTTTAATTTTAGATTTTGAAGATTTTCTAATACCCTTTATCTCAAATTTCAGCTTACTTTGAAGCAGTAAAATCATGAACGCACTCGCAGCAACTAATAGAAATTTTAAGCAAGCATCCCGACTTTTGGGGTTGGATGCTAAACTTGAAAAGAGTCTTCTCATCCCATTTAGGGAAATCAAGGTGGATAATGCTTTTCTTTAATCACTTTACTATCAACTATGTTTCTAGAAGTTATATACCGACTCAACTCTGTTGCTAGTTACTCATTTCATTGCTGAAAGAGCAAGTGTCTGGAATTTGTTAGTCTCTAGAATTCTCATATATTTGTCTATGAAAAAGTAATCAGATAATTTAAATGTAGTAGTATAGTGCGGATTACTGTTATCAAACATATGTACTAGGTACATCATCAGTATCTGAAAATTGAGATAACTCTAATGCTTTGTTTGGATAGAAAGAAATAGAAGGAAAAGAAGAGAAGAGAAAGGGAGGGAGATAAATTCTCTTGTTTGGGTAAAGGATTGGGGGAAGGAAGGGGAAGGAGAGGGAGGGATCCATTTTCCCTCTCTCTTTAATAAGCATAATCCCTCCAAAATTGGAGAGATTTGGAGGGAAAATAGAGCTCACCTCCCCCTCCTTTTCTTTTCCCTTCCCTTCATTCTTTTCCCCTCCCCTTCCTTTCCTTCCTTCTTTGTTATCCAAACAAAGCGTTAGTGAGTACTTGTCAATCTCTTGCGCTTTGTTTGGATCGAAGGAAATGGAGGGAAAAGAATGGAAGGGAAATGGAGGGATGGATTATCTTTCATTTGGATAACAAATAAGGAAGGTAGGGAATTGGAGGGGAGAGAAATGGAAGGATTAAATTCTAAGAAATTAATCTCTCCAACAATAGAGAGATTTGGAAGGAAAACTCATCTTTCTTCCCTCCCCTTCCTTTCTCTTCCCTCCCCCTCACCTTCCTCCCCTTCTTTTCTTTCCCATTTCTTTATCCAAACACTTAGTTTGTATCTTGTTCTGGGGTTTTTAGATTTTTTTCCAAACTATCTTCTCTAACTCAAACTGTCAAACCCTTGCAATGGGTTAAGTATGTGTATCTATGATTCTATTGTTATATATGGTAGTGTTATGCAAGCTATAGCTTTAAATTACCTGTCAATATATCCCCAAGTAGTATATTTATGCAGAATGTTTTGCAATAAACAGATTACTTTTGGTTGGTTTATTAATATAAACTTATGGGTAGTACTCGTGCTCATGCAAGCACCTTTTATGTGGTTTTTTCCTTGATGTTTTGATGATTTGGTACTTGTTCCTTTTTTTTTTTGGCTATTCGGATTTCTTTGTGCGGGTAAAATTTCGTATGGGCCATCATTTGCAATAATATGTCTCCCACAGATCCGTGACATACAACTCGTATTTTGCTGAAATACTGATTCAGAATTTTAACAAAAAATTGCAGGTTGAGTGTACTATACCCAAAGATGATGGTACTTTAGCTTCTTTTATTGGATTCAGAGTTCAGCATGACAATTCTAGAGGTCCCATGAAAGGTGGAATCAGATACCACCCAGAGGTTGGTTTGCATGTTTTTTCTGTTATTTTTTGCCTCATTTATTGAAAAAAAAAAAAAAAACTTATTTTGTATTTATCCAACAAAGTTATTATTTTATCTGTATAACTGTACTACATTGGATTCCCCTATTTGGCTAAAATTTGTAAATTATTACCTGATAACTCAATTATAATTTGTCATTGCTTTCTCCTTAAACAAAGACATTATAGATTGCTCAATCTACAATATTTGATAACTGTAATGAATAATGTTGTTAATCAATATTGTAGGTTGACCCAGATGAGGTTAATGCTTTGGCACAATTAATGACATGGAAGACAGCAGTAGCAAATATTCCTTATGGTGGTGCCAAGGGTGGCATAGGATGTAACCCATCGGACTTGAGTGCTTCTGAACTTGAACGCTTGACACGAGTTTTCACCCAGAGGATTCATGATCTCATTGGAATCCACACCGATGTACCTGCTCCTGACATGGGGACCAATTCACAGGTGAAATCAGTTATTTGTTTGTGAAAAGGTCTCTGTAATAGTATTGACATATATCATATATGTATAAAATTTAATTGTTAATCTTACTGTCATTTGAACAGACAATGGCTTGGATATTGGATGAGTACTCTAAGTTCCATGGTCATTCACCTGCAGTTGTTACTGGAAAGCCTATTGTAAGTGTGTTGATAATTGTGTTTATGCTTATTTGTAGTACACTTATAATTTGATGGTATTGTGTGCTCCTCAGTTGTCCTTGATATTTTTTTTTTTTTAAAAATTTTTTTTTTTTAAGTTTAGCCATATAATTATGCGATTGACAATACATTAAGCATGCCTCTTGAGTCTTGACTAATATGCTTGAAACTTTTAGCAATAGAAGTAATTAATTTATATTTCAGATTACTAAATTAAGTTTATTTTTTACAGAAAAATTAATTTGATTTTGATGTGGTATTAGGACCTTGGTGGATCGCTTGGTAGAGATGCAGCTACAGGAAGAGGGGTTCTGTTTGCTACAGAAGCCCTTTTAAATGAGTATGGAAAGACTGTATCTGGTCAGAGATTTGTGATACAGGTATGCATTAAAAGAGAACTTTAATATTCTATTATGTTGTTTGTCAGTCGCAATTGATCCTAACTACACTAATCTCAGGGGTTTGGGAATGTGGGTTCTTGGGCTGCACGACTCATCAGTGAATTAGGAGGGAAGGTTGTTGCTGTAAGTGATATTAGTGGAGCAATTAAAAACAAGAACGGACTTGACATTGACAGCTTACTTAAACATGTCCAAGAAAATCGTGGAGTCAAAGGTTTCCATGACGCAGATGCAATAGACTCCAATTCAATATTGGTTGAAGATTGTGACGTGCTAATCCCTGCAGCCCTTGGTGGCGTTATTAACAGGTTCATCTTCAAGTGCCATTTACCCTTCACCTTGTATGTAAATAAATTGATATTTGATGTTGAGGAAAGAAATGAATCACTCCATATTATCTAAACACAAGGTGTGAAGGATAAGTGACAATCAAATCTCCGCTTCAGTTCTTAATTAATTCTTTCGAAGTATTTAATATTGGTCTCAAATCTTTAATATTAATTTACAATGGCTGAAATTCTTTATTGGTTATCAGATTCTAATGTTGAAATGGTTCATGATAGTGGCAAAGAGGATTTCACAATCTGAATTTTAGTTAACTAAAAATTGCCTTCAAATATTAAGGATAAGAGGATTTCCCCTTCCCCAGGACTTTCAGCTTAGTTTTGTGAACCATTTTTTAGGTAGACCAACTAATACTTAGTTTTGTGATTTGATTGCACCGTATTCTCTTGCTTTTTGAAGAAATATTCATGACCTGAATTTCAATTCACATATTTTTTTCAACTTGGATTGCCAAATAAAAAATTTATTCATTTGTTGTGATTGAAGGGATAATGCAAATGAAATCAAGGCCAAATTTATTGTGGAGGCTGCAAACCATCCTACCGATCCAGAGGCAGATGAGGTTTGTTTAAATTGGATTAATATTTTGTATTATGATGTTGTAGTTGAGTTGTTATAACAAGAGAGGGTTTTTTTTTTTTTTTTTTTTTTTTTTTTTTTTTTTTTTTTCAGATACTTAAAAAGAAAGGTGTTATCATTCTTCCTGACATATATGCAAACTCTGGTGGTGTTACTGTTAGTTACTTTGAGTGGGTTCAGGTATGAAATTCTCCTCTATAAAGTGATTCTTGTAGAGTTTAGTCTTGGTCATTTCTTTGTTCTATGTTTTATTGTAACTATTATTTTCTGTCAGAATTTGGAAATTTTTTGATGTTCTACAGTTTTTCTTTCAAGGTTCTATACTTAACTTGAAAATTAAATAATTGAATGTGTTCAGAGTGTATTGAAATTAGGGTCTAATCCATAATATTTAAAAATGCTGGACACATTGTGTTTTACTACTATATAAAGGGCTAAAGGCATTACTTCCTCTAATGCAATTATCACATACTACATCTGTTTCAAATTATTTGCAACGATTAGACATTTTCTACTCATGCTTTATGTCAAATTGTTACAAATATTTTGAAACGGAGGTAGTATTAAGAGTACAAATTTGGGATAGTAAGTAGTTAGTTCTATATGAAAGGAAATACACAATGAATACATTCATTATCTGATATAAGACTATGTTTATTAATTGCAGAACATTCAAGGTTTTATGTGGGAAGAAGAGAGAGTGAACAATGAACTGAAGACATATATGACTAAAGGATTGAAGAATGTAAAGGAAATGTGTAATACACATAATTGTGATCTTCGTATGGGGGCCTTTACCCTTGGACTAAATCGTGTTGCACGAGCCACTGTTCTTAGAGGTTGGGAAGCTTAATTATCATCAACTTGTGATTTTGTTCAATAAAACCTCCCTTTGCTCCTAGGTTATTTGATCTTTGCATTTCGATATTATGTGATGCCTTTATAGTTTATACTTGACTTTATCAATGCCATGGGTTATTGTCTTTACCCCGGTTAAATTAGATGTAATTTTTTTCCGTTTAGATTTTTCATATGATATTATTGTTTTGGTTTTCAACCGGATTGTAACTCTATTTATTTATGATTAAATGTGAGCAAAGAAGAGTTTATGGCTGAGAATTATGATTCATCTTTCTGTTGTTTGTCTATTATTTTAACTTTGACTTTATGTATATATTGATAAATATGGAAAAAAATATCAAATGAGATCTTATTAGAATATTTGTGTTTATGTGTAATAGATTTTAGCCTGTGCGCTACACTGCTGTAAATTTGTAGTAGAAAAAACGTTAGTAAACTAAACATTTTATATTTATGAAACAAATTATATGATTTATAAATTAACAAATCACATGAAACTAATAATGTATGTAGTAAACGAAGGATAATAAACAAATAGAAAGATTTAATCTTTAAATGACAGTAGATTTTGAGGAAGAAGGAGAAGTTCATTCAAATTAAACGGCTTCTTACGATAGTGACTTGAGGTCACCAATCTCTAAGGATAGTGATATTAAGTTACTAGTCTTAAAAGTTCACTAGAGTTCACTAAATTCACAAAACAAGCGGTCTATTCATTATCTTTTTCTTGTTTAGATTTATAAAAGCTAACAGAAGGATCCCCTGTCATTCTTGTCCTTTGGTGTGATGCTCCATTGTCTTGCCTTGCTTACAATTCTGCTTAATAGGCTATTTCTTCTTGGCCAAACTCACACTTATTCTCATTAGCTACCAATTAGTGTTCTTTCAATTTCGAAAGCACCACTCTCATATGATTTATGTGGCTCTCCTTATCCCCACTATAAATTATTATATCATCGAAGAAAACTAATACAAACTTCCGGAAGAAAGACCTAACCTCTCGTTCATTAGAGATTGAAATTTAGCCGGCGCATTCGTGAGTCCAAAAGATATCACCAAAAAATTCACAGTGACTCGTGTTTCGGAAGGCCGTTTTGTGAGTATCCTCTTCCTTCACCCTTATTTGGTGATACCCGGATTTGAGGTCTAGCTTTGAGTAAATAATAGCCACATGGAGCTCATCTAGCAATACATCAATAATGGGAATGGGGTACTTATCTGAAATGGTTCCTCGGTTAAGTGCTCTATAGTCCACACAAAATCGCCAAGAACCATCCTTCTTCTTCACCAAAAGCACGGGGCTAGAGAATGGGCTTGTTGACGATTTAATAATTCCCGCCTCTAACATCTCCTTAATCAAACGTTCAATCTCATTTTTATGAAATTGAGGGTACCGATATGGCCGCACACTCACGGGTTTGCTTCCATCTTTGAGACGAATGACATATTCATGCCCACGAATCGGGGGCAGCCCTTCTAGCCACCAAAAAACCCGGCAAATTCCTCTAACACCCCTTACAACGACTCTGGTTTTCCAGGAGTTGTCACTGCCTCCTCACGCTGTTCCTCCCTCACTACCACCTTATTAAGCTCCAATAACAGTCCCACTCTCTTATAACGAAGAGTGCAGATCATTGCTTAAAGACACCTGAGAGTGCTGAAGACTTCATAAGGTGGGTTTTTCAGTTAGTGGTGACTGGACCTAAGTTCTCCAACCATTGAATGCCTAATATGATATCCGCGTTACCCAATTGCAATGGTAGGAAGCCGTCTACCACCTCTACACCACCCTCTAACTCCAATCGCACCCCCTAACATTTTCCCCTACCCTTGATTGTTTCCCCATTTCCTAAACTCATCCCTCTCACTTCTGCCTCCTCCGCCACGAAAGCCGAAATAAAATTGTGGGTGGCTCCCGGATTTATCATCACCACCACTCTTTGCCCCCCAACCAACCTCCCGCCTTCATTGTTCGGAGATTAGAGATTCCCACCACCGAACAAGGAGAGATTTCGGCAGGAATTTCCTCTTGCTCTCCTAGCCACCTATTTTCTCCGCTACCACCGCCACCTCCATTAGTCTCGTCCTCCGTATCACCGAGCAACAACACACTCAGCTCCTTGTTTTTACATATATGCCCTACCCCCATGTGGTTTAGGCAGAAAGTTCAAGCTCTTTGCTCTTCTAGGCTTGGTCGAACCTTCACATGTTTGGGCGAACCTCAGCTTTTGTCCTACATTGCTTAGCCTTGAACCGCTCTTCACACGTCTTAAACCCAAGAGTAGGGGTGTTCGTGGTGCGGTTTGAATCCTAAACCGCACCAAACCGTAAAATTGTGATTTGTATTTTTTTCCAGACCGCACTTCTACCCCAATCGCACCGCAAAATGCGGGTTTGATGCGGTGCGATTTACCGTATTTTTTAAAAATTATAATTATTTTTTGTAAAACAAAACTTTTATTTTATTTTGTGATTATTAATTTATAAATCAAATATTAAACTCTTATTTTAACCTTTAGTTAGCTAATAGTCAAAGATTAGCTAATGTATTTTACTTCTTTTGTATTTTTTTAATAAAAAGAAAAAAAGTATAAAAACTGCAAAATACATTGAAGTGCGGTTTACGGTGCTGTTTGGTCTAAATATTTTTAGAAATCGCACCAAACTGCGGTTTGGTCATATTCAAAAACCGCATCGCAATTTCCAAACCGCAAACAGCAAAATTGCGGTTTGATTTGCAGTTTAGTGCAGTCTAAATTGCACTCTGAATAGCCCTACCCAAGAGATAATATGATCATCGTGAGAGAAAGACAAGGAAGTGAAGGGGCAATTGTCAAAGAGAAAGGAATGGGAGCAATAGATAGTTTATTTTGATTTGATCTTTGAGGGGAGTGTGAAAGAAAAAAATAAAAAAACCCACTTTAGAATAAAAATGGAAAATTTTTATTCCATAACTTCAATAAACAAAATACTATTCCATTGCAGAGTATTTTTTATTAAATGAAAATGAAAAATTTATCAAAAACCACCTGTTTTGTCATAAACCAATATTTACTTTTTTTTTTTTTTTTGAAGTAGCAATTTATGCCAGATTTCGGCATTTGACTTCATTTCAAGCGTTGACCACCCACGTGCCATCACTACTAAAAACACCCATTTCCGACACAGCACCACCACAACACCACTAGATCACCAACGCCGCCCCACTAAACCCCTCCAAAACCCACCCTAACCACCATGAAAACAACCAACCAACCACCTCCAAAATCATACACCCACCACCGAAATGTTGAGTTATTTAGAGTGTTGAAGTGGAGAGCTCGCTCCACTTGTTAGCGCACTCGTGAAAGGCAAGCGCGACCCGCTCCGAAAGCGCGACAAAATCGCGCTGAGTTTCTGGAAAATCTCGCAGATTTTAAAGGCGCGCCCGCGCCAAAGTTTGGCGCGACAAAATCAGCGCTAGGTTTCTGGAAAAATTGGAATTTTGGCAAAACGGGGTGGCGCGCCGGAGGGTGGCGCGCACGCGCTTCTATGGTGGAACCCGCGCCCCTTCGTGCGCGTCCGCGCCTCCTCCCTCTTCTACGGTTTTTCGGTTATTTCCTTTATATGGTATCGGGGCTTTTGTTTTTCGACAGACAGAAAAAATCCTCTCAATCTCTCCAAAGAAATTCTCCACCCTTATTCTCTCAAATTTCTTGCAAACTTTTGTGAGAATTCTCTTGCAATTAATTCAATATTGTGAATTATTCATCTTCAATTCGATTCTTTGTGCAAAGAACAATTGGCTGTCTTTTGTATCTCAAAGAGTATTTCCGGATAAAACCCAAGCACCGTTGTGGGGGAAATTAAACTCTTTAGGAAAGTGTTCACACGGCTAAGACAGTGTATCAAGGATTGAGACTCAAGCGGTCACCGGTTTTTCTCATGTTCATGTTTGTTTTCTAAGGCTTGGAGTAGAGGCAAGTTTATTATCTTTCACACTAGTGTTTTCCGTTGTAATTTCTGAAATATTGAGATATTTTGGTGTTTGGTTGTAATACATTGAATTGTATTAGGATTGTTGTATAATTTGATATTGATTATACACTTTTAGGTTTTGTTCCCACAATTATTAAAGTAGTTCTTGCTCTAGAATTACTTAAAAACCTAACAATCTAAAGAGTTTAAATACTTAGCAAGCATGTCTAGTGTGAAAGAATTGACCACAAACTTTGTCAAACTCAAGAAGTTTGACGGTGTGGAATTTCGAAGATGGAAGAAGAAGATGTATTTTATTCTTACATCTTTGAATGTAGCCTATGTCATTAGTACTCCAAGGCCTAGTGAACATGAGAATGAATCCTTGGAAAATGTTCGGGAAAGGTCGAAATGGGACAACGATGACTTTATTTGTCGTGGTCATATATTGAATGGTATGGAGGATGATTTATTTGATGTTTATCAAAATGTTGAGTCGGCTAAGGAGCTTTGGGAGTCCTTAGAAGGCAAATATATGGCTGAAGATGCTTCAAGTAAGAAGTTTTTAGTAAGTAATTTTAATAATTTTAAGTTTGTTGATGGTCGGTCCATAATGGACCAATTTCATGAATTACAACGAATCTATGGGAACTTGAAACAACATGGTATATCTATGGATGAATTATTTGTTGTTTCAAGCATAATTGACAAGTTACCTTCTAGTTGGAAAAGTGTTAAGCATGAGCTTAAACGCAAGAAATAGGACATGTCTTTGTCCGAGTTGGCCACCCATCTTCAAGTTGAAGAAGGGATAAGAGCCATGGAAAATGCTAAGGATGGGAATCCTAGCTCATCTACCATTAATTTGGTGGAGGAAGGGAAAACTGGTGCTTCCACTAGTGGAAAGAGGAAGAATAATAACTCTTTCAAGGGAAAGTCCAAGAAGCAAGCAAACAACAAGTTTGCTTGTTGGGAATGCGGTAAAGTTGGTCACGGCAAGAAGGACTGCTTTTCTTACTAGAAAAGGATGGAGAAAGCCAAGGAGGGTCGTGCTAGCACTAGCAAGGACCCACCCACCAAAGGTAATCCAATTCATGAGGTTGAATTTAATTCCGGTTTGGATTTAAATGCAACGGATCCTAACATTTTTATGGTGCAGGATGATGAGTCATGGTGGATTGATTCGGGGGCTTCTAGGCATGTATGCAAGATGAGGCATTGGTTCAAAACCTTTCACAAGGTTGGTGATGGAGAAGATCTCTTTATGGGGAACAATTCAACCATCAAGGTCCTTGGTAGAGGACAAGTA